CCGAGAATGAGAAATGAAAAGAAATTTTCCTACTTTAAAACTAGTGTGAATATTCATGTTGTTATGGTGCGTAAGCCACGACGGATTCGTATTTATTTTGGCATATCTACTCTGTTAGTGGACAATGAAAATTAACTCTTCTATAGTAACTACCCTTTTAGACTTTCCTTAATGGTAATTGGTTGTGTATCAAGAATAAAAATTCTTCTTTAAAAACTGGTCACAAAACACAGTTACGTTGGCGGCCGAACACATCAGTACACACAGATATTTTAAAAGAGGTGTGAGGGAGCAATGTGCAGACCCCCGGCTTACTCGAGCCGAGGTCCAAGTCTCAGAGCCGACCTTTAGTTGAGCCGACCCCCTCAGATTCGAATGGTCTAGAGGCTCCAGACGGAGAGGAGACTCCCCCCGTGAGGAGATGCCATCCGCCTGGAATACCTCTAGAAGCACTCGCCAATCCTCCAAATCCGGTGACGCTGTAAAGGTCATCTGTGACCAACAGCATACTTACTAAAAAAAATTGTGCAGTCTGGCAAGATAGCTGGGAAAACAGCAGCTTTCCAGCTATCTTTGCGGCTTATTTTTACCGTGTGGTTTCAGTTTTCCAGTCCAATATCAGAAAGCACATAATACAAATACTCTAAACACATGATGCTACTATTATTCAAGTCCTAATTTTATGGTTGGCCTCCATTTCTAGCCACAGTCACAAATGTAACATTTCTCATACTCCGAATCAGCAAAAACGGCAAGTCATTAAAACTTACCACTCAAAATGGAATGTAACCGCACTGGCTGACACTATTTAAGTTACAAATAACACGTCATTAGTTACGGCTGTACGCGTAATGTTCTCATAACATGTATGGTAAGTTGCTTTCGGCGAATGCTCGTAGCTTTAATGTGTCTACGGGAGTATTCTGCCACTCCATTCATTCCATTGAGGATCGACTCCGAGTTGTGTATAGTGAGCAATAAATCAGCACATTTTTGTGAAAAAGCTACTAGCGAGACCTATGGCCTCGATTCGTAGTGGCAATAAATCCAGTCTGTAAAGAAAATCGCTTACGATTTGGTTTTAATGTACCTTCCTTTGCCTTCATGTCTAGCGTACTTCCAAAATATCGTTTACTAAATAGAGACAGTCTCACATAGCGAGGTTGTAAATTTAATAAAGTGTTCATAATCTAATATATAAAATTCTCGTGTCACGGTGTGCGTTTTTGAACTACTCCGAAACGGCTCGACCGAATTTCGTGAAATTTTATATGCATATTCAGTAGTTCTGAGAATCGAACAACATCTATTTTTCGTCCCCTTAAATGTTAAGGGCCCACCCTTAATTATTTTTTTTGGACATTATTTTTTGTTTTTATTTTTTTATGATACATCATACAAAAATACATACAACTCTAAATTTTCACCCTTCTACCGCCAACCTCTATTTTTTATGACGCTACGAAGTTTGCTGAGACAGCTAGTATTAATGTTACATTAAAGCAATTCTTCATATCAAATTCCTTTCCCAAATTGAAATTGTGATTTAATGATAATGTACGTCTTTTCAATCATACTAACAATTCGACACATACCTAATATTCGCAGTAGTAACACCGATAGTCAACAAAGCAAATTAGAGAAGACTTAAAAGCGATTTAATTAATTTCTGACAGATGAAAGGGACGTGTTGTCTTATCGCTGTTATCGCGAGGAAAATCATCCCAACAATTGAAATCAAACCTCATAATTAACAGAGGTCTCTGAGTAGGTACTGCCTATTTTCTCTAGCTAATGTGATCAGAGATAATTTACCAGAATAAGTCGTACAGTAACTCTGTTTTTCTGTAAAGGCCTGGGGAGTCATTTCAGCATTTTAGTATAACATAATAGGTTGGGGAAAAGGCCTTTTGCATTACAGTATGTATGAACTTTTAATAAATTCTCTGTTTGCTATACCATTTCTATCTTGCTGGTTTTGGTATCATTAATAAAAAGGTTAAAATTTAAAGAAGATAATTCCAAATTCAAGATGAGTGAATCTAATGAAGAAATTCGATACATTTTAAATTTTACTACAAACATGTTAAAAATGCAACGCAACCCGTGTAAAAGAAATTGTAACGTTTATGGAGCTAGTGCAGTGTCCGTGAGAGTAGCACCAATTTGGTTTAAGCGTTTTTAATCCGGAAACTCTGATGTCAAATAGGGCGAAAGCGGCCGGATTAATCAACAGAAGGGGTGTAGTTTTTCATCGTGATAACGCGACGTCACACGTCTTTAGCCACTCAGGCAAAATTAAGAGAGTTTGATTGGGAGGTTTTAATGCATCCGCCGTATAATCCTGATCTTGCACCTTCAGATTTCCAACTATTTCGGTCTTACCAGAATTCTTTAGGCTTTAGTAACATCAAGAGAGGTCTGCCAAAACAACTTGTCGCGGTTTTTTGATCAGTAGCACCAAAATTTCTATAGCAATCGAACAAAATGGCACCACCGCATACTTTAGTTAAATGTAAATAAACTTTATTAAAAAATGTTTTAAATTTTCATATAAAATGTGAAGAAACTTATTCCCCAACCTAATACGTAAAGAATAGAACTATCCTTAAAAACTTTATCCCGCAAGCTGAGTACCTCTGCTTTTGTAATATTACACCGTGCTTAAAACTACTTCTGGACAAGAGCATACGAGGAAGCTTGTTCACAAAGTTTTGAACCATTGTACAAATATTTTCGAGGAATCGCAAACTTGGAGGAGAGTTTGAGTATTTAAGTAGTTTCTGCCTTTGCTGCGACTGTGAACTTTAATATTTTATAAGTATGCTTCTGTATGTGTGGAACAAGGTGCAATAAGAAAAATGTGAGGATCCACGTAGATAGAAGAAAAGTTGGAAATAAAGGAACTGTGATAAAATTCCTTTTATTAGAAATAGGGATATAAGAATGGGTCTTATTTAAGTAAACCTTTTTCAATATTGGTAAGAGCAGTCGCCCGAAAAGTGAAATATCTGAGTTCTTTGACAACCTGGTACAATTGACATTATAGTATTTTTACCTATCTTCTTGGTACCTTTTAACTTTCAGTATTGTTAATGCCAAATGTAACCAGCCAATTCAAAAGAAGTTTTTCTTCATCGCAGGTTCAAATATTTGTTTTCATAATTCTTTACGATTAAAAAGGTTAATATAACTTTAGGTTTTCTGAATGCCAAATGTAACCAACTACTTAATTAAAGGAAAGGCACTTTCTTCTTCATCGAAAAAAAAATATATTTGTATAAGTAATTCTTTACGGTTTCAATTAAGTGTATTAGTATGAACTTTAATAAATATTTTATAAGTAAAGATAAATTTCGGGTATTAGGCGGACATTAGACTAATGGTAACATGTCATTTGACGACCTCCGTGGCCGAGTGGTTTGTACGCCGGGTTTCATGGTGTCGCCGACTCGAGAGGTCCCGGGTTCAAATCCCGGTGGGGGCAGATGTTTGTGTGATGAACACGAGCATTTGTATTCGAGTCATTGATGTTTAATATGTATTTCTATATAAATATACTTATATATGTACTGGTGGATATGTATTCTATCCGTTACCCTAGCATCCCTTAACACAAGCCTTACAGTGCTTACTTTGGCTATGCTAATTGGTGTGAGTGTTGGAATATTTATTTATTATGTAATGGTTTGACTGATGATTTTACAGCCACCATCCGGTCTTCATCATTCAAAGCTGATGGAATTGACTGACGGCTGCATGAGCGTCTAATGCAGTGGTACTCAAACTGCGGCCTAGTCTCGTGTTTTGTAGTCTCTAGTCCTTATGATGTAGTTCCAGTACACCGTCACCGCAACCGCCGCCATTGGGGAAGAAATACCTCAGGCCCTTCTAAAATTATAAATTAAATAAATTAAAACCATTTTAATGAATTCTATTCGTCTAAATGGATACCTAAGAATTATGCGTTATGATCGTAAGAGCTCGTTCCCACTTATCGGGTGTCGGTCCAGGATTTTATCGGATGCTCCAGTGGCAGAGCATTTTAAACATTTATATTTAGAGTATTTATCTGTAAATCGAATGTGTAGGTCTTATAACGGTATGGTTAAATTGGACAATAGTCTGGACATTTTTGGTAGTAGTTCTATTTCTTTTAAACATAAAATAAATAAACTTATTAAATCTTCCTGAATCTTCGGCTCTCGTCTCCACATTTGTTATGTTGTAATTGTATTCCTATAAAAATATTTTTTAAATTTTGTGATATGATAATATTGCTATCGTCATTTTGATTATTTTAGATTGCCATAATTTCAAGACAGGACATTAGTATACTTATTTTTAAATTAAATAATATTTATTTTTATTGTGCGGTATATTTATATTATTGTTATCTTATTGATTTCACTTAAGATTATGCTGAACTAGAGGTAGCCCGCGACTTCGTCTGCGTTAACTTAGTTTCTTGAAAATCCCTCTCGAACCTAACATTTTTCGGGATAAAAGTAGCCTATGTGTGAATCCAGGGTGTCAGCTAACTCCATACCAAATTTATTAAAATCGCTCCTGCCGTTTAGACGTGAAGAAGTAACAAACATACACACTCACAAACTTTCGCCTTTATAATATTATATAATCGAGTCAATAAAGACATAAAACAGGCAAAACTTGGAAACCCGGTGGAACAGCTTCGATTTTGATAATATTTTGTTTTAAAATTTGGTTTTTTATATTATTCAAAATCAGAAACCTTTGAAAGGGGGGAAATATTTTTTTTATTGTTTAAACAATATTTATGACATTTTTATAAAAAATTCAATTTATCGCTTTTTTTGAAAAAAATATTATTATGTTAATGTTAGTATAAAAAATAGTTGTTAAAATGAGGCTTTTAATAATAATTTAATATTTAAACCATTAAAATACGATGTATTGGTCAATAATACGAATGCGTTGAGCACTTACGTTATATTTTAGTTACTTCATAATCATAATAATTTTATAGATAGGTCCGACAAATGACTCCACCCCACCTAATGTTAAGTGAAGGTGATGTCCAGACGCGAAGATAGCTGATACAGCAGTTCTACCTGCCACACCAGCCATGCTCACCCTGCCGGCCTGCATGTTGCTTCTTCACGCCTCTTTTAAAGGATCCCACGTTTTAAGAGGGAGGGAACACGTGAGCGGGCAGAGCATTCCATTTACGGATAGTGCGACAAAGAAATGAGTCACCAAATTTCTTTGTACGCGTTGGAATTATGGCCACAGTAAGACGGTGACAACGTAGGCCAGCGCGCGTGGTCCTCTGAAGGAAAGGGGAAGGTGGGATAAGAGAGAATAACTCCTCAGAACACTCGCCGTGGTACAGACGATAGAACGCGCTTAGTGACGCCACGTCACGGCTCAAGGTGTTTAGTCACCTCCTCATCGCCTATGATGCGGATCGCGCGCCGCTGTAACCTATCCAAAGCATCGAGCAAGTACTTGGCGGAGCTATCCCAGAGGTGCAAGCAATATTCCACGCAGGACCGCACTTGCGTTTTGTACAACAAGCACAGTTGATCGGGCGTGAAAGAACGCCGCAGCTTGTTCAGGACTCCGAGTTTGCGTGAAGCTGTTTTGATCACGGTTTCGATGTAGTCCTTTGGATTCAGGTCTGAGTGAACTTCCATACCGAGCATGGAAATGTTGCTCTGCAGCGGTATTGTTGTGCCCTGAAGATGAAAAATAAATAAAATAAATATAAAATAAGATGACGATATTTTTGAAGTTATACTTCTTTAGGCGTGTTATGAAAAAATGATGAGAGTGAAATTTTAAGATGCGCGCGCATCACTGTAACACAAAATTTTAACATAATGAAGTTGGTCGCTTTTAGCGACCAACTTCATGCTGTTACTTTTGTGTTTACCGCACATTAAGAAAATCTACCAACAAAATAGAAATAGAATCTCTATTTAGTGGGTGCTAACGACTGCATTGTGAAGGCCTATCAAAAGTATTTATTAATCTCAAACAACGGAACCAAAGCGCGATTCAGGAGACTACAGCGCCATCTCTTGACCATTGGTGTAGTAGAACCAAAAACCACATCTTTATTTTTTGTAATAAAGTAACAGTTATAGGTATTCATATTTATAATATCAAAAGTATTTATTAATCTGGAACAACGGAACCAAAGCGCGATTCAGGAGACTACAGCGCCATCTCTTGACCATTGGTGTAGTAGAACCAAAAACCACATCTTTATTTTTTGTAATAAAGTAACAGTTAAAGGTATTCATATTTATAATATTTATATGTTTCTAGTTTGTATATTCGGAATACGTGTTTGAGTTTCATAGAAGTGCAAATCACTTATGTTGTAATAAATTATATTCAGTAGCGATTTTAATTGAATATTTTGATTATTTATTTATTTTTTCAAATTAAAACTGAACTTTATTGACTGTGTCCTTTTCCAGACTTTTCATTAATTTATTGTAATTAATTATTTGCATGCAATTAAAAACTAATTTTAAACGATGCCAAAGAAGGATAACTTCTCACGCGCCTACATACGTACACGCACCCATTTTTTTATATATGTTAATAATGAAACTATTAATTTCTTATATTTCATGAAATATATCCTAACTTTTTTATGTATATCAGCGTCATGTCAATATATTACATGAAAGATCTTATAATTAATTGTTTTTAAAAGTTTTTGATATAATAACATGTAAATTAAAATTATTTGTGATAACAATATGAAAACAATAACATAAACATATTTTTTTGTGAGTTTTCAATTGATATTTTATAAAAAAACTTTTTTTTCCAAAAATGTCGTAAAAATTGTTTAAACAATATAAAAAATTATTTCCCCCTCTCCAGAGGTTTCTGATTTCAAATAATATAAAAAAACAAAATTATTGAAAAAAAATCATCAAAATCGAAGCTGTTCCACCGGGTTTCCAGGTAAAAAGCTTCATTGACTCGACTATTAGTGTGATAATGTTCAATGCCTTGTTTTGTAATGCATGCGGTAGTGACCTTTAATTAAGATAGCATCTAACTATCGCCGATGCTTGTATGTTGTTATCTTGTATTGGTGTATATCTTGTTGGTCGTCCTTAAATAAATAATATCATTTCTTGTCGGCTCCGACACAACATCGATTTTCGACAAGAATGAATAGCTTCATTTAAAATGCTCTGCCACTGAAACATCCGATTAAAATCTGGGCCCGCCACCCGATAAGTGGGAACAAGCTCTCAGTATACATTTTTATCATGCTATTATACATAAATGATGGGAAAGAAATATACCGTAGTATAAGATTATCGCCCCGCGCCCGCCCCTTTTCCTATCATTATATATGAAAAATTTTAATAACACGTGATTTTAAATAATAATAGATAAGATTTCGATACTATACTTTAAACTCCAAACAACAAACAGAGGCGATTTTTTTTTAATTTCCAGCAAGTCCTGATATTTTTGTTTAAAAATAAAAGTCAGGTGTGTGTAAGGTAGAAACTCCATGTTAATGTATACTTTCAAAACGTTAATTAAATCCTTGTAAAATACATTACTCAAAATGAAGCTTTAAAAGTGAAGCTCACGAAACATGCGAAATAGAATAGGCGCTCATAGTTTTAATGAGATCGGTTAAGTACGTACGTCAACTTAACTAAGTATAAGAAAATCTAATTAAGAGCAACAATGGAATAATGGGGACTAGACTAAATATGTTGCTGAACTAACTTTAAGAATGAAGGTGAAAAGGGGAGTAAAACATCTCATTTTATCTTTCAAACAAACAGTATAAATATACATTTTCAACGTGACTAAACGTTAATGGATAGCGCAGAGATTAAAAAGTACAATGTTAAGATTAAGAAACTTTTACAAAGGACACTAAACGGATGGGTAACCTACAAATATAGAGAGCTCTTCCGTGCTTGGTAAGACAATACCCAGTATTTATATTTAAAAGTTAGTAATTTAAGTTTATAGCAGGTTTAACACCGATGTAATGTAAAGAAAGGAGAGGAGCTCGATGGCGCAGGAGGAGCTCGATGGCGCAAGTGGTTAGCGCGTTCGGCTGCGATCGTTGAAGTTAAGCAACTTTCGCAGTGGTCGGTCATTGGATGGGTGACTAAAAATTTACTATCTCGAGTTCCTCCGTGCTTCGGAAGGCACCTTAAGCCGTTGGTCCCGGCTGCATCTGCAGTCGTTAGCACCCGCCAATCCGCACTGGGCCCGCGTGGTGGGTCATGGCCCAATCTCCCTATTCCATCCATAGGGAAGGCCTGTGCCCCAGCAGTGGGGACATTAATAGGCTGATGATGATGAATGTAAAGAAAAGTTTTTAATAGAAACAAAACCTACAATGCTAAGAGATGGCGCTGCCTTGCAGCTTAAGGATAGGAAAATTACGACGCGGCAATCAGGGCCGCGGTAGCATAATTGGTCAGTGCATTCGCCGGGATAGCGATGGGTGCGGGTTCGAGTCCCGTCTGCTGCCTGGTCCGCGTGGAATTTTTTCTAGCTATATTTTCTTTAGATTTAAACATCAAGCAGTTACATGCTTAAATAAATAAAAACATTATAACCGATGTTATGATTAGAGTATCCAAGTAAAGTTGTAGTTACCGGAGAGTAAATGCAGTATGTAGTGGTAAAAAAATGACGTGACCAGAAAATAGTCCTTATTCGTGACATAGCAAAGCTTCAGGTTACGCGCTATCGCGCTACTGTGGCCTGAGCCATATCGTCCAATCAATGCACGGTTTTATTATTTTTTTGTTAACACAAGTAAAACCTCTATTTACAGACTTTAGCGCCCTTAAGGGGCACACCAGCGAATGTACCTCACACCTAGCATCTCGCACACTGCCGGATTTAGGGGAGGGCAATCGGAGCGAAAGCCCCGGGGCCTCCACAAACGGGGGGCCCCCACAATAGAGACTTCGGAAAAAAAAATCTTTCAAATTCCAATTAGTAAACACTAGTAAACATCTTTTCCTTTGATAGTTTTTTTTGTTCTTTTACCTTTACTTACAGCCTACAGTACTTTGTACATCTAACATACATGATTATTCACAATAAATTATTTATTGAAACACTCGACTGAAAAAAAAATGTTTACTTTATTTGGAAAATAATTTGGGGTGAGGGGGCCTCCGCTCCTCTGTTGCCCCGAGGCCTCTGGACCTCTAAATCCGGCCCTGATCTCGCAAGTCACACGGGCGCGAAAACGGAGAGCCCGCTAAAGCAACCCGCGCGGCTTACGGGCGCGTCTGGCTATACGCTAAAAACCCTGCGAATACCCTCTTCAGCCGTTAAGTGCGGAACCATGGGATCCCCGTTGAGGGAGTTCACCATGTCAAGCACGGTTTTCCTAGCATTTGTACCAAACAGCACCGATTAGTACCAAAATTTGGCTGTAGGTTCTACTCACCTTCTGCTTCAAAGTTGTCAATATACCGAGGTGCTTTTACACTGGAGGTGAGCGCCACCCCTTCCCGGAGATGAAAAGTATGGGTTTCAAGGTATATTAATTTAAAAATAAATATGGGGATGGATAACTTGTTGACAAATATTCCTTGACATTCTCTTAAGTTTAGCTTATTTCGTAGTGCTCAACGACTGCATGCACCACACTTTATTAAATATATTAGCTACTTCGGCTTATGCAAATCGGCAGATTATATTAATTCCGTGATTCTTGACTAATGTCCAATTTCTTTTTCAATTCTCAACTCCAAGTAACGTTTTTTTTTGCAACTTTGTGACCAAACCATTTCCTTTCGCCACGCTCAAATTGTTTGATTTATTGGAATGAACTGTTTTATGCATGTCATCAACCTACCTTACCTTAATCTGGAGCGCTCGAACTATATATACATGCATTATTTTCATAATAAGTTAAGTATATTCGTATATTATGTATATTAGGTGTGTGTCGATATCTTGATATTTTGAGGTCGGCTTATCAAAAAATACTCACAGAATGACATATAACCAAAAAATCTAGTTATTGCTGACAACTACCTAAGTAAAAAATTAATTTAATTCCTTCTTTTGCCTTGCTAAATCATTCAAATCACTTGATTTTGGAAGATTATTCTGTAGGTATATTTTTTTGCGTGCGAACAAAATCGAAAGTCTAAAACGAAGAAAAGCTAGGATGAGTTACTAGTATCTTATTAACTTATTTATAATATCTACTTCACAGAATATGTTAAACGAAGTAGGAGTTGCTGAAGCATACGTGCTTGGTTACTGATGATGAGGCGTTAATTCTAGATACCAGCAAACTTTTGAACAAA